ATATATTAATATTATTAACCTACAGCAGTTGTACATTCGATTCAGTCTGACAATATCCATCTCACTAAAGTCCAGGTATTGCCCTATGATGTTGAAGAACTCTGGGATGTTGGTGGTGATGGTAGGAATATTGGGGTCTTTGTTGAAAGCAAATGGACGATAATGCATGACAGATTCATAGTCATATGGAGTATTTAGATCTGTGACAAAACTATCGTCATATTTGTTTAAGTTATGCTCCATGCCTAGAAAACCAAAAATTATGTGATGCATAAAAGGCACATGCAAAATTGTAAGATTAAGTAATGAATATTAAACTACAGCAAATGACACCAAACAAACTAACCTTCAGTGACCTGATCTAGCCAGATCTTCACATAGTCATCTCGGTCCTGGCGAGACTGTGTGTGGTAAAAGCCCAGGGCATGCAGCAGCTCATGCTCAATCACAGCCTTATGATCACAGCCAGGCCCCAGAGAAAGCACCTGCCCATTCTGTAGATCTCCAACATACGACCAGCACCTGCCAGCAATTGCAAGTCCTGTCAGTGTGATTTGTTTATAATATAAGACTTTATATGTTTTCTGATGGCTGAATCACCTAAGAAGCACCATTATTTGAAGACTAGGGTTAGTCCATGTGTTTATTTAGCAAAGCTTTATTATTATCATCATGTACACACTTATTGTCAGGCCCAGGTGAACTGATTTTGGGGCAAAATTCAGTGTGAACCTGCTTATGCTCAACATTTATATGCTGGTGTTATAACAGAAACCGTTTCCAATGGTTGGCTACACACATACCCGTCTCTCTTCTCAAATTTGATGTATGTCTTCTCGCCCTCATAGGGTTTGAAATCAACACAGGACTTTAGACGGTACATTTCAAACGCCTGATAAACAGCACCTTTTGCATTAAGGTCTGTGTAAAAAGAAAATAATTTATCCATGAAGAAAATCACCATAATAAAAATACAAATTTGTCAGTTTTCGTTTTTGTACTTGATTTGGTAAGCAATTGAAAAATCCCCTACCCAGGCTGTCAGACAGAATGTATGGAATAGGGAACTTCCATCTGTATGTTTTGTCAATAAGACCAACGCGACCAGGCTGTAAAGAGATATAGATTTGAATAGACTTTTTCAAAATCAACAATAGATACTGATACATATAATTAAGAGGATTTTAGCACATGCAAAAAATTATTTAAAATAAATAAATAAATAAATAAATATAACATTGATTATGCACTTACAGGTATGGCAATGTCTCCCTCAATCAGCTGGGTTTTTGCTCCTGACAAACAAGTTAAAAGTGAAATTGTAATGATGTTGTAATGAAGTTGCTCAATAATTTGTACTATAATACAAATTCAATAATAAATTTTGTAAACTTAAAGTATTTCTTTGAATATACAGTAGCATTACAATGAAATTTGTTGTGTTTGTTGTGCAATGTAATATATATAAAAGTTGATGTAGATTACCAAGATTGATGAAAGGGTTAAAATTGGGTTCATCTTCAACCTCTGTAGAAAAAAAACAGTGTTATATAACTATTTAGATAAATTGAATAAAAATGTATTATTTACAGTAATTAATTAAAATCATAAGTCTTACCATGAATATGAGTTGAAACTGGAATCTGAAAGTCACGGAAGGAATAGGGTTAAATGCATTTAGAGGTAGGGGCCAATAGGGTCCAAAGCCTGTGTAAGTATTATCAAGGTTAAATTATAAATACAGAAAATCATTCACTCACTGCATGAAGTACAGCAGCCAGCACTGTAAAGATGAGCAGCCTTGGTAAAAGCATCCTGACTATATGTGGGGTATAAGAAATTGTCATTGCTTAAATTATATAAAGAGAACTTTAACCTTTGACCATGTTTATTGGAGCAATGACTTGAAATGTCTCACTACTGACAGTATTGTTATAACCCAAGGAACACGTGTATCCCATAGTGTTAGCAAATGATGTGCAGTTTACAAAGCTTATGCAACTCAATGCAGCCCAAGATGCTGAAAATCAGCTCAGACAATCCATATTTTAGTAGGCCTACATGTTTCTGTAGCCTACTGAAGGAAAACAAAAAGAACTGGGCTATTTATAAAGTACAGAAAACAGAAACCCTAGGTCTGTCTTAGATAAAATCAAGAGGATAGCCAAATAAATGCAAAAATTGTGGTAAAACTTTGGCAAGACAACGCTGTTAAAAGCAAAATGGGTGAATTAAAATGCATTCAATTAACACATGATGTAAGCTATAAAGTAGTTCCATACATGGAGCTGTATGTATGTCTTTTGATTCATCAAAAGCGACTCGAATCTTTTGAATCAGTTTAAGATTCGAACAAAGAGCAAAAAAAGAGAGTCGTTCACAACCTTTATTAAAAACTTTAAAATTGGTCAACAAATGTACTAACAGCCTTTACATTATCAGAATTCTTTGGTACAATTTATTTCATCGTTCTGCACGAAACTGACTCGCTTGAGGAATCAAGCCAACGATATGCCTGTAGTGATGTCCGGTTCGCGAACGAATCGTTCGATTTAACCGGTTCTTCTTAGTGAACCTGCCTGCTTTTGACTCTGCCAGTGGATCCCCGTTCGTGAAAATCTTTCTCGTTTGTTTAATTAATTCGTTAATTCGAGATTTCCAACGTTTATTTCACTGGTTCGAATCTTGTTCAGACTCTGGACAAGATTCTTAACTCTGAATTGATTTGTTCATTGAAGGGGCGTGTTCTTTCAGTTAATCCAACAAATGAAATGCTGCTCAACACAGCCCGCACTCGAATGCTATTGGCTCGCGTTGCAGTCTGTCATTAAAGACAAGAAAGCAGGGGTGTGTTTTCAATATGAACCATTCTTTCGACGAATCATTCACTCAGATTTGTTTAAAAGACTTTCACACACAAAAAAATCAACACGTTTTCCACACTGATCCAAATTCAGCAGGATCTTTGACTTTGACTGTGAGACAGATGTGTCGAGTCGCTGTCAGGATGAGGCTCCGCCTGCTCAGCGAGGACTTCAGCTGAGACTTGATGTAAGTTAGCCCTGCTAACGTCGATGTGTAATGTCGGCAGACTCGTTCAGCTGACTCTGGTCAAGAGGATATATGAATGGTCCAAGTCAACGTCGGGTAAGTCAAAAGAAATTACCTTTTAAAAGCTGTTCGACACCTTGCCATGGCAGTGGCTTGTATGCTAATAGTAAACAAGCTGGTCTTTGACACTGGTTTCGCTATTGACAGCCACTTCCTATTTTGTCACTGATTTTCATAAAGTTTTTGCATATTTTTCTAATTATCAGACCATTGCTTTAACTGCTCTTATTGTATTTATGTAAACCATAACAGTGTGGGCATTCATTATTACAGTGACAAGCACATTGAGCTAGGCCTGTCACGATAACAACTTTTTGTTGTGCGATATATT